AGCAGTTGTTTTGTGTATTTGACTGGAATTGTCCACAACTGCTAACCTTCGAGAATTAGAGATTTTTAGTAGCTGGAATTTGGATGTCAGGATTTGGGTATCAGGATGCAAGCCGTGCATATTTGCACTCTGGAAGCCATGGCCGCAAGGCTGAGCATCAGTCTCATCATGCATACATGCCACCATTTGCCTGCCATTTCCACCAGGCAGGGCTGCTGGCTTTCTGCAGTGGATCGCCCATGGCTTCCCAAAGTGCCATGGAGCCAGTGGGACAGCAGCTCCCATGGTGGCAGTGGCAGGCAAATGGTGCCACCTGTGAGTGGTGAGGCTGATGCTCTGCCTTTGCAGCTGAGTGTTGTGCAATTGCTGACTTGCTCCCTGTGCTTTGTGGTGCTTCTGAGATTTGTTAGCTTAACAAATAACTTTGAAATGTTTAAGAACAAGAGTGGTGCGGTTTTGCAGGAATGCAAACTAACTGGAAGCACTAGTAGTTGTCAGCACAGGAACAAAAACAGTTAACTGGTACACAAAGCTGTAACAGGTCACGGGGATCTCTAAGAGGCAAAACAGCAATGGTAACATTTCGAGTCATGAATCTATTGCTGATTAATCATTATAATCCTTGAAAAGTACTGTCAAACTATCTTCTGGGCATCTGGGGAAGCAAAGGTTATGCAAGCAATTGGAAAAAATGGTGTTGTGAGCTGCAGGATCTTTTCCATTGCATACATTTCTGTCGCCTTTGACAAATGGTAGCACGAGAACTCAGCATGCCATAATTTTACCTGATGATCCAGAAACTGCCTGAATCTTTTGGGCTAGATCCCAGACTCATCTGGCCAAGCAGAGACTGGATGTGGTGGACATGAAGGCACTGTGCTTGACACTAGACAATATCAAGCGTTATGGCATGCTTGAAAAAAGCCTGATCAAGCACAGGAATTGCTGGATGGTTGCTAAATGAGAGAGCTGGGGTGCTCTGAGAGAAGCTGTTCATGCCTTTCCTTTCCTTAGTTTCACCTACAGCAAACCCTGCTTTTCTTAAAAGCATCCTACAGCATCCATTCCATGCCCTTTGCTTCAGGCAGAGGAGAGAAAAGGCAGTGGGAGACGCAGGATAAGGGGAGCAGACTATCAGGGGCAGAGAAGGGGCAGCCTCTGACGTTCTACCCCTTCTTCCATCAGGCATTGAGGGAGCATCGGAGGGTAGGGGCTGGCAAACCCTGCCAAGGTTCCCTGTAGTTTTTCTGGGTGTGGAAATGCCTGTAACAGCATGCATGGAGATGACATGGAAGCTGTCATGGGAAGACAGATGGGAGCAGACATGCTCAGGCTTGGGCGTGTGTCTCTCAGCTGTCCAAGCAGTGTTGAGATGCATGCCGACGTGGCTTACCCACACACACAGGTACACCTTACTCATTCTCTTTCCCCTCACACACCTTATTTTTGTTTGGATTTTGTAACTTCCAGTATTTCTCACAGGGCAAGTGAACTTCCATACTGTCCCCTGTTGGGAGCTCTTAAATAATGCAGCCGTGGAATCAGAATTTAGTGCCCAAGTAATGAAATTCATAACCTGAGTTTTCCACAACAGCATTAACTGTGACATAGATTCATCTCTTGCATATCATCATTAAAAGGCAATGGAATTGCTTCAAGGATTGATGTGATCATATGCATGTAAAGACCAAGATACAAAAAGGTGTGATTTATGTAATATAAGCATCAGCTGTAATCCAAACCTATTCCAGCATGCAGTGTGACAGTTCCTGTTCCCCAGGCAGTGATGGCTTTGGAATTTACTGTGTAAATATGTGTGTTTATGTGTTTTTATTTAACTCCTCTAAGCATAGTGTTATCTTAATCTTTTTCTCTCCTTTTTTTTTTTTTTTTTTTTTTTTTTTTTTGAGTTGAATTATAGATACAGTTGAATCTGCTTAATAGTTCAACATAGTCAAAATTCTTTATACTTTTGGAGCCTGGGTGTTACATGTCAGATGCACTTTATTGTGTTGTCTTACAGGGAATATAGAAATACCACTAGGTCTGATGCAGCTTTAGACAAATCTAGAAAATAGGAGAAGTACACATAAAGCAAGAAGATAAATGTTATATGGGTTATAATGTTATTGCAAAGACCATCAGAATAAGAGAAAAAGTGAGCAGGAACTGTTCTTAGTTCTCAGGACTTGTTAATTCTCCCTTTCTGCCCTTCCTACCCTTCAGAGATTTGTGTCTGCAAAGGACAGACCTGGGCCAGTCTGGTATGGATTGACCAGCAGCTGTCTCTCTATAGATTTGGGAGGGGAAGGACCTGAGGTCTAACTGGAGGAAGAGCTGTGAGGTGTAGCACAGGAGCAGTGGCTGGAACACTGCATGAGTTATCTCCTTGTATCTGGGAGCTCTTGGCAGCAGTTCTGAGGACTGGCCTAAATAACGTGTTTGTCTTCCGAGGAGTTCAAAGCTATTGAGATAAGTAGTTGCTGAGGCTGCCTGTTAAGCAAATTTGTCAATCGTAGAGCTATAAGTAAATGGGCCTTTATTACAAAAGCTTATTGCTTTTTGTGGTTGTGTAGGAGTTTACATAATTTTCTAAGGAGCTCTTTTATCTCCTAAGTACAGCAGTGATTAAGATTTACTTCTGGAGTGCAGTGGCAGTTAGGAGCACTCAAGATGTACATGTCAGTCCTGGATGTTTTTTTCAGCGTGTAGGACTGCATTTGTGCTCTGCCTTGGGATCCAATGAGCAAGTTGGGCAGGACACTGGCTTTAGGAAAATATTTGTAAAATGGCTGGGGGGATGCAACTCCCCAACAGCTGACTACACTGCTGGCACAGAACCTTCACAACCGCCTGAAAGGATGCTGTGGCAAGGTGGGGGTCAGCCTCTTCTCGCAGGTAACAGTGATAGGATAAGAGGCTATGGCCTTAAGTTGTGCCAGGGGAGATTCTGGTTGGCTATTAGGAAAAGTTTCTTCTCAGAAGGGGTGATAAGGCACTGTAACAGGCTGCCCAGGGACTTACCATCCCTGGAGGTGTTCAGCAACTGTGTAGGTGTGGCACTGAGGGACATGGATTAGAGGATATGCTGGTGATGGGCTGGCAGCTGGACTAGATGATCTTAGAGGTCTTTTCCAACCCTAAGTATTCTATGAGTTGGAATAAGGTACACCTTTGCCTTTTCTGTTCGCTTTTCTTGGCATCTTTAGAGTTTGTAACTGCAGACATGCAAACTGATGGTATTTGAGGTTAGGCTTTAATCCATGGAGATGCTCAGCATCCCAGCCCTGATTGAGCAAAACACATAATTGTCCTCAGTGTAGGGCTGTTCACACAAATGAAGTCAGGTACATCCTTAAAATATTTACCAGAGCAGGGTCAGAATTCTCTCAGTTGGAAAGTCAAACCTTCAGTAAGGAAACCAAAGCCATTTGTGCATGAGGTATGTACCTCATCCACTCATAAAAAACATTCTGTGTCCTATCCTTTGTTTTCTGGTGCATGCCTTACATTATTTCTGTAGACACCCCTGACTCTGCTGCTTTTCCACTTTGCTATTTTCCCATTTTGCACTTAATTTTCTCTCAGAAACAGCACCCAGAGGAACATGAATCTAGCTGTGTGTCATTCAGTCTTTAATAAATGCTGTAGGTGACACTGAATTCAAACCTCCTCTTGTTCCTCCAGTGTCCAGTGTTTGCCTACATTTTTGCCACCTTGTAGTTATAGACACAGAGCAAGTGCCCACAGAAGATGGGATACTGTGGAGATGGACCTGTGGAACCAATGAGAAAAGAGCCAGCTGTGGGCTTCTGCTGGTACGAGTAAGAACTGGCAGGTGGAGGCAGACCATCTTTATGTGTGCCATTCTCCAATCACACCCCCAGAATTTGGGGCTCTGGTGTAAATATTGGGGTTTTGAGCCCCAGTGTATGTTAATGCTGTTTTGTTCGTCCAGCAGTGGTTAGTCTTTGGAGTGTTTAAGATCAATACTGAGTCTCTGTGGAGAGGGACTGATTTTGTTTGGCTTTGCTGTAAAGCCTGGTGGGTTCCTTGTGCATCTGGTTACACTTAAAATGTTAGCTTTAACTAACAGCAAGCCTCTTGATAAAATTCACAACTATTGGCAATGCTGCAGACATAGATTTATCTCCTGGGCACATTTTGTAAAATTAAGCTGTTTTCATTAAAAGAACGGAGAGTAGCATGGTGATAGAGCAGCTGTCATATTTTATTACAAAACACAAATATGTGGGAAATCAGTTACAGAACGAATGCAGCACAATGCATATTTCCAGTAATCCCCCACTGCCCGGGGAAGGTAGAAGGCTGATCCGAGGGCAGGAGCAGATGGCAAGCGACTTTAAGATAGCTTCACTGCAGTTTTTCCTCTTTCAAGTGTTTGTGCTTCTCCTTTGATCTTCAGATCTTGAGTACGATGCATTTCATCTTCTTTCATTGGCTGTTTTTGAATTTAACTGTCCCCTTAAATAATTTTTGCTTGGTAGAGTTTGTATTAAATGTGGGGTTTGTTATATTCCATATTATGAAATCTAAAAAGAGAAACCATTACTGTCTTGGTTTAGTACAGTTCACATCCAATAAAATACCAGCTACGTCACTGCAGAGAATTTCTCCATTCACCATGCACAACTGTAATGCTACAATGAAAAAAATCACACCTTGCAGAGTTAAAGAGAGTCTTAGAATGCATGTGGAGTTGTGGTCGACTCTCTTGGAGGACAGGTACTGTGGGAGTATGATAGCACACCCACAGCTAGAACCTATGGAAGCTTGGTTTCATCATTATTCCATTAAATTCAGTTTTTATGGATAAATAATTAAGCTTGCGTGTGTATTCTCTGTGAATATAATGTTTTATCTCCACTTATAATAATTTATGCTTAAAATGAAACAAAATACTTTGTGATGTTTTGGAACAGAGCAACAAGCACAACATGGGGTGATCTGAATCATCTGTGCCTGTTCTTTTTCTACAGCTGTCAGAAATGATAGGAACAAAAAAAAGAAGGAACCTACAAAGCAGGAGTCCACAGAAAACTATGAAATGACAGCAGAGCTGGATGACCTCACTGAGAAGATCCGAAAAGCTCACCAGGAAACCTTCCCCTCGCTCTGCCAGCTGGGAAAATACACTACAGTAAGTATGATTTGGGGAAATATATTCTGGATACTGGTGGATGATGCGAATTTTGTATTGGAGACTTTAGATGTTTGAAATAGATGCAGAAGTCTATTGGCTCCTTGAGTCTCCTTAGCCAGGAAGAAACTGCAATATATGCATGGAAATATGTGCACTTAACTGTAAAGCATTACTTAGCAATGTTACAAGAGACTGCAAGACCAATCCAGCAGAGAAAAGTGTGGTGTCCATGAGTGAATTACATTTCAGCATTCATTAGAAATGTATTGCTTTCCAAAAACATGCTCTCTGCTTTTGTGTCAGCAGTTTACAGCGATGCAGGTGTGGAGTTCTTAAATGCTACTAGTGACTGTCCCAGAACTACTATGGTCAAAGAAAATAGAAAATATCGAAATAAGCCAGTTTTCAAATTGCACATTTTATACTTCATTCCTCTTCCAGTCTACAAAAATACTACAAAGCAGCAAATGCTTCTGCTGCTTTTTAGAAGTGAAAAATCAGCCTCAGGTCAAGAAGTAGGAACTTCTCTAGAGCACAGTTCTGGGAAGTACATTTTTTTATACATATACGAGGGAAAATCCAATGTCAAGTTTGCCAATGCACTAATGAAAGAGACACTGAAAACTAAATGTTAGCTATCAGCTGATGAATGACTTTGTTGGGTTTGGACTGGCTGTCAGCTGAGCAGTACTGGCTGATGCAAAGAGATGTGTGAAACATCCCCCTGTAAAGAGGCTGGGAGTGGCGTGGCTGGGCTGAGGAGCTGCCTTCCTCCGTGGTCCTCTGCCCCAGTTGGGCACCTGCAACAGAGATCTGGCATCCTGGTACAATTTGTCACTGGATTGCTCTCTGTTTTGAGTATGTGCTCTACTCCTGAAACAAACATTAAGTTTCTCAAATTGTAATTTAGGCAAATCCATGTGTGGCATGAATGTTCAGTGAGTAGGGTACTGCTTTGTGGCATACTTACCTGTATGCTATTTGCAGTGTTCAAAAATCTCCGATCTAGGTATGAGATCTTGCATTCAAGTGCCAGAAAAGCAAGCATATGTGTTGTGCTGTTAGAAAAGTACATATTTTCCGTGTCACTGAAAATATTTTCACAAGTATTTTTCACATTTAATTTCGAGACCTGCATAAAATTGTTAGTGCTGGGGAAGTCGTCTGTCCTCTGCATGCTTCTCTGGTGTTTTCTCTGCTTGCGTTAGACGTAGTCAAAACAATCCATGTAGGCATGCTGGTAAATACTACTGCAGTAGGCAAGCACAGCCAGCCCCCTGGGGATGAGTGCAGCATGCGAGGCTGGAAGCTCGAAAACAACCAGCTGGTGATATAACTAAAGGCAAGGCTGGAGGCTGTGGGATTCATGGTGTGTCTTTTCAGGGAAATTCCTGGGTTAATGTCTTCCACCCCTCCTCACAGTACGTGTGCTTGTGTCCCCAACTTGAAGGGAATAAAATCTTCCAGGCAGGCTCTCGCACTTCTGCTAATGCAGGAGCACTTCTGAACAAGCGTGAGAGATCTTTACAGTTCAAAGACAGTGAGCTTATGCCTTGCAGAAGAGGTGATCAGATATCCGTAGCTGGGACACGTAGCCAGACTGGAATGCATGCCAGAGCTTATTGCTCACAGGCTGCGTTGCAAATGACTTGGCTATCCCAGAATAATGTATCCATATACCTCCAAATGTGAACGTTTTGTTACAAACCTTTGTGCTACCTCTGCATTAGAAAAGTGCGCTGCAGCTGGTGTGCCAATGCTTAGTACTGGTAATTGTCCAAGTTCCCAAAGGCTGAAAGATAAACCTGGGCACCTATGTGCTTGCATGGATCAGAGGCTTAAGTTTCATTAATATTTTAGTTGTTGAAATGATACAGATGGAAACTGGAAAGGATCTTGTTGGATATCATGCTGCCAATGCCTTTGTTCTTGGGTTCCTGCTGAACCTGATGATGTGCTGATGTCCTCAAAAAAAGTGTCAGAGCTTGTTCTGAGAGCACCTAGATTTTAGAAATGGACAAATCTGAGTCACTGAGGGGCCCTGAGTTGCCTCAAACTGACCGTGCTGCCTCTGAGGCTGAATAGAGACTAAAGTCCCTGCTACTTTGTCATGACTTGGAACAATTCCAGTCCCAGTACCAAAATTTTACTGAAAGAGTTATTTTTAGCTTACCTGGAATCTTGAGAGCTCTACATCTTCCTTCCACATCTGCATCAAAGCAGAGAGGGGTGGTGCCTAAATATTAATTGTCCTCTGGCTTCATTCTCATAATCTCTGTGTGAAGTGCATAGTACTTAAACCTCTCATCTAACTAAGGTCTGGTGACCACTCCAGCATTTTAGATAGGAATTCAGTGTAATGTCTTGTTTGTGAGAGGTGTCTTTGCCTGGCTTTGAAAGGGACAGTACAGCTCTCCATTGTATGCTTGCACCCAAGAAAAAACCTTGGGAAGTGAAATATTCCTAAATATCCCTGTGGCTGGAGTAAAGGGCCTTCATCTCCAACAGACTGCCAAGCAATGGGGTGGAGGAGAAACCAGACTGCAGAGATCTGTGATGTTCTCAGGCTGCAGTGAGGTGTTTTTGTACTGGGTTGAGGGACACAGCTTCAGTCCTTGGACAACAGCATGGCAGGGTTCAGGTGGTAGCTGTTCCTTTTAACACACTTGAAATAGAGATCAGAACTCAAAAATAGAAGAGCACAACCCTTTTGCTAAATGCTGAGCTAGAACCATATGAAGCTTTAGTTTTCCTGATAGCAACAGGCTGATACAGGTAGAATATTAAAGTCATGTTTTCTGTCTGCTCCTGCTGGCTAACATTCATGAAACATGGTGCTCTCGTGCTGCAAACTGTACGGATTACTTTTGTAACCTTATAAATTTTGACTTAATTTTTTAACTGAGAGGTGAGAAACGAGCATAGTGAATTTCACGCGCTTAGCACTTGTGTAGTGATGGGAAGTGCGGACGGAAGAGTCTGTTCCATGCGTGCGATTCCTGTGCGCCCTTGGTTATGTGATCTTTTGGACTAATTTAAAGCAGGGTTTTGTTTGTTGCTAGAATGAGCAAAGAATGTCAATGTAAGAGAGTGGGGGAAAAAAGAGCTTGCCAGAGATACGGTCATAAAAAAAACCACCTGTGCAGACATTTGGCTTGCGTATCTCGGTCCTCTTCTTGAAGACTGCAGCCTGCATTTCCTGCAGGAAAGGTTATGTGCTTATTTTTTTCCCGTTGTGTATTTTTACCCGGTCAAAAATATTGGTTTTGGAAAAGCATTTCAATTGCATTTTTTATATCCATCTGCTCTTTAAAAAGAAAAAGTGTCCCTATCTACAATAATTGCTGTACTTTGCATAGTTAATAAAAGTCTACTTAAAATAATGAGGGAATGGCGCTTGTATTAAATTCCCTGAGTCATTTGCCTTAACGGTTGCATTTGGTAGGCAGGGGCAAGTACAGTTCTGTCGATGATGAGAATCAGCAAGCTCTTTAAACATAATGGATTTCAAAAGTCCATCATAAATAGATCTGTTTTATTACTGTCATCCAGGTAAGAGAAAGTGCCGTAGTAATTTCTCTAGAGATGTCATACTTTATAGTATAATTGAGTGTAACTATACTGCTCGTCCCTTGAGACTGGTACTATTTGTAAGTCTGCAGCTGTGTTACATCCAACCTCGTGATAAAGGGAGGATAAAAGGGAAAAAAAAAATTTACTCTGTTGGACCTTTGCTTCAGTTTCTCCCTGGTTGCTCTTTGCTGGCTGCAAGTGGAGAGGTTTTGCCCCTCAGCGGCGTTTTGCTCTTTGTAAGTCCTTGGCTTAGAAGTGACACGGCTGTTGTTCAGTGCCAGTGTAGAGGAAATATATGTCTTGATGCTGGGATTGAGCAAAGAAGTAGGTTGTGGTCCTCAGTGAGCCTGCAGGAGCTGGAGTGCATTACTGCTTTTACTAAAGAGGTATTGCAAGTGTTCCTGATTAGGGCATAGTGCCCCTGTGAGCCTTGTTTCATTTGTAAAGTGGATTTTAAAGACAGTGGGGATTCTGCTACTGTGTCTGTTTCTGGGAGTAACTCATCCTATATTGTTAATGTGGAGATAGAGCAGCCTGCGATGAAGAACAAAAATGATGGAAAAAATGGGATCCATTTATGTGGCAAAAATGGCTGTTTAATTGGATTTCATAGCAAGGTTGGGCTTTTCCACTGATAAAGATGTCACCAGGGTGTATTACAGTATTGTTCCACCATATGTGCGCTGGTGCAAAGGCCTGAAAAACATGCAAGGCTGATCCTGGAAAAGACACCCAAAAACCTCCTGCTTCAGTATAGTGTTCAGGAAAAGGCGTCATGTCTGCGTGTTCTTCACAGCGCCGTTACAGGAGATCCTCAGGCAAATTTAATCAGAGTTTCTAACAGGCATTTTATTAACCCCGTGCTTTATTGTTCAACCTATACATCGATACCAGCTCCGTTTTGTTTTTACATATTGAGAAATGCTGCTCAAAATCTAGCTGTTTCGACTGTGTTTTTGACTAACGTTCATTACCAGACAAAATGCTGAAAGTCTTCCCATTTGTGGCATCTCAAAGACAATGTGTAAACCCCATTAGATCCAACACTGAGGAATCTGGCAACCCGCTCAGTAAAACACCAGGTTATTTTGTATTTTATTAACTGCCCCTTCCTTTCAGTTTGCATAATGGTGAGTTAGATTTACATTTGTTAAGACGGCTGTGCATTACTCTTAATAGAAGACATGTCAAACTTCCCGTTGCCAGTACTGCAGCATGATAAAGTAACCTCATATGATACTGATGAAGATTTCGTTCACACTTGCTGGTTTCATGCAACGTCTTTTTTTCCAGATGGATACCCTATTGTAAAATGATTTCCTGCTTTAGGCTCTGCTTTGTGTAGCTCTACGCTATGCCATCTTTCTATGAACTGGATAAACTGCCTATTAAATTTAATTACAGCCTGAATGACTGCACATCTTGATCTTATTTTTCCTCCAATGTACTGTATTTCACCAAGGTCCTTGAGGATGAAATAAAATAAATCTGAAGGATGCATACTGCAGTAGCCGAAAGAAATGTTTCAAAGGGCATTACAATGACTGTTAACCCATTAGTTTTGGACCATTTTGAAGGCAATTCTTTAGGCTTAGCATTATAAAGACATTTTCTCCTATTTTTAAATCTGTCATTAAAAAAAAAAAAAGAGTTTTTCCCAGAACAAAAATTCAAATAGAAGTAGTGAAGTTAATTTCTTATCCCTTAAGAAGAAAAGCAAAGAAGGACGTATATCATGCATTTAAACACTTTTTAGCATTTATTCTGTGTAATAGTGGCCTAATATAAATATTACCAGCTTGAATCTCTACTCTGTTGCAAGTGAAGGTGAGTGCCAGCTGGTGGCTCCCCTGGGGCTGCCATGACCTTCCCTTTTATGACTGACAGTGGTGATGGCACATGGCAATGCAGCACTGGGACAGGGCGAGGGCTGCAGGGACCTGGGCCTGCTGACAGCATCCATGGCCCTGCTGAGCTCATCCCATTCCCTACATCCCCATTCTACCTGTTCAGTCTGTCCTTCCCGTGAACAAAAGAAAGGCAGTGGCACCAAGGTGACAAATGCCTGGGTACAGCTTTTGCTATGTGTCCTAGAAAAGTGTGGGCTTTTGGAGTAAGATATGTGAGCGCTCACTGAGAGATGCAACCTGAATGTCTTGGTGGCTCTTTGAACAGGAGGATGTATATTGGATGCCCAATCCTATCAGCAGGCAGCATTCATCATTGCACATGGTGTTTCTTGTAACGTTGTGTAAAAAAGTGCTATTTAATTAATGTGAAACCGTAGCTTGAGAAAGCTGTAAAACTCTTGCAGAGCCACAGAGCAGATAAATTAAGTAGAACTAATTTGCTAAGATCTTAAGTATGTGACACTATGTTCCAGATATTGTGCTGCTTTTTCCAGATGAAGACCCAATATTCTTGTTCAACTGTTCATTTTATTTTCTGGGGTACAACTGCAAATTGTCTCTCTCAATGCACTTATTATACAATGGCAAGGAAGAATAATGATAGTGGCATTTGGAAATGTTTAAGTTCATTTGTATTCCTTGTACAGATGGCCTCTGCAATCGTAAGTAACAGAGAAATATCCAAGGAATTTTCAGGCGATTAATCCAAGTTTAAAAACAGCATCATCTCAACAGCAAACTGCAGAAATTGCCTGGAATGTTAATAGAGGGCACTTCTGGAAGGAATACTTTGGTTGTTGATTCTTTCCCTTGAAAACCACTTACTGAAAGGGATGTTACTGATTTATGGTGCCTTCTGCCTTTCTTTCCAGAACTCTAGTGCAGACCATCGGGTTCGACTGGATCTTGGGCTATGGGACAAATTCAGTGAACTTGCAACAAAGTGCATTATTAAAATAGTGGAATTTGCAAAACGATTGCCAGGCTTTACAAGCTTGACCATTGCAGACCAGATAACTCTACTTAAAGCAGCCTGCCTGGACATACTGGTACGTATCTTTATATTATTTCCTTAGTAGTGATTTATTTTCTATTACACTCTGTTACTGTAATTGACAAAAGGTCAAATGCTGCCCCAGCTTTAATGGTTGCATAATTAAACTCACCAGCACATTCACAAGTGGATTCTAGCATATCTACTAATACTTGTTATTTAGGATGACTGTGCTTTTCAAAATACATAGTGAGACTTTACACTTCATGGATTTCAGTACAGCTGCAAGAAAGGCATGTTTTGAAATAATAAAAAAGAAGTATATGCATGTCTGGAAAAGTTTCCCCATCTTTAGCACTGAAGAGTGGTCTGATTTTCTTTCCTCCTCCTCTTCTTCCTCTTCCTGCAAATCAGTGCAGCCAGGGCTCTGCATGGAGGATTTCCAGAAGGAAGTCTGCTGCATGGAGTTTTAGGGGTGTGCTGTACAGCTGGTCATGAAATGATTTGAGGATCCAGATCCAAATATTTGGAGTGAGCATTTTGCAGGTCGTAGTGATGCACTTAGAGCCCAGCAGGCACAGAGCCTTTGGTACGCAGGATTACCTGCTTTTAGGAATGCTGTAGGTGCCTATGAAGGTGGACTCCTGTTTGTGGACTTCGTACACATTTGAGGAAAAAATGCAATTCAATTTTAAATAGAGAAGTATAAAATCTACAGAAGAGAACTATGCAGATAAGCTTGAAATTTTCCTCTATACCATGCCACTGAGTGGCAAGCTCTTCTCTCTCTCTTTGTCTCTGGTGGTTTGTCATGCTGACCTTCAGAGGAGCCCTCTGGGATCTCATCATTTCTTTATACAGACCTTAGATGTCTTCAGGCTTTTAAAGGCAAATATGCTCTGTATTATTGACTATTGCACTGACTTTTAGTAAAACAGTTAATGCTTTAAATGTGTTTTAAATAATTCAAACATGATTTATACATCCTCTAAATGTTTCCTTCTGAGCATCAGCCTTCTGGTCCTTACTGAACCAGGTGAATTTTCAGTGTGATGAGGAAGCCCATTGTAGGGTGGCTACTGTAGATATATTTCTCAGCCTAACGTGGGAGTTTAAACTAGAGAATTTCAAGTTAAAGTGATTAACCTTGGAATTTCTAAAAGTGCTTCCTTGGAATTTCTAAAAGTTACTTCCAACAGGAGCCTATTGAGGAAGATGTTAACTGCTGTGACCTTTTCCTCTTGTGTTGTCAAAAGCTGTTTTGAGGAATTGTGTCTAGAGGACACTGATGTAGGAGGAAAAGGGGGTGGAGGAGGAGAAGGGATATTATTCTTTGGCCTATAAAAAAAGGAAAGCTGAGATTGCCATGCGGTCTTCGAGAGTCACTTCTCATTATCACTTTCTTCCAGTCCCATTCAGACCAGGCCATCTCAGCATTATCACATGTGATCCCTCCGTAAGACAGGGCCATTTATTACTGATTGTGTGCCTGTCGTCGTTAGTTCTGCCATGAGAAGGTGCAATTACATTCCTCTTACACCAGGAGGCATGCAGGCATACAGTTGGACATTTCCTCAAAAGTATTCTGCTAGAAGTATGGGAAGAGAATTGCTTTCTGTTTGCAAAGCCTACAGGAACTATTCAAAAATGATGGTAGGGAGAAAGGTTGGGATATAGCAAAAACCTGTTCATCCAAACACTTTAACCCTAAAACTTCATGCTTTAAACTGCATTCCCATCTTGGAGCTGCCATTTTCTGGCTCTGTAGATACTGGGGAAAAAAGCTGTACCCTGATTCTGTAATTGTTAAGGATCCTGTGGGTTCCTGGAGTTCACAGAATATCCAGAGCTGGAAGGAACCTGCAAGGATCATCAAGTCCAACTCCTGATTGCACATAGGACTAATAAAGATCTAGATAAAGGTACAGGGCTGAATAGAGGCACTTCACAGCCTTTCATCAAGGTGGCTAAACAAAAACTTGGTCCTTAGAATATTAATAACAAGGCTGGTAGTAAATGGTAACTATATTTCACTTAATTCATGGACAGAAAAGGTTGATTCTTATTTTAAAGCCAATTCACCACTTCTATTCCTGGGGAGTACAGTAATATCCAAGCTGTACTTACAACCTTTACTGAGCTCTGTCATTCCTGTCCACCTGCTTGTTGTCTTCTTTATATTTCACAAAACTGCAGGTGACACGTCTGTGCAAGTAGACATACAAGCACCATAGCTGCCTGCAGTAGCAAGAGATGAGGATTCTTCAGACTCAGGATGGATAAGATGAGCTTGCTGTGAGAGTCCTAAGTTTCCAGTGTGACATGTAGACAAGCTTTATGTGACTACTTTATGTGCTGCTTAAAAAGAAAAAGGGATAATTACCACCACCACAGTTATGTGTGGCATGCGCACGGTCTGTGAAATGCCCATATCCATTAAAACCACATCACCTGCACGTAGTCTGATTGGAGTGCAGCTCTGTATCTTTATTTAAGCTAAATAACAGCACTTTTAGCAATGTTTTCCTAGAGCCTGCTTTTCCCCTTAGTTCTCCTAGCCAGGCACAGCGTGTGCCTGACTGCAGCTGGCCGTGTGCCTGCATTGCTGGGCAGTGCTGCCCTGCACCCAGGGACCTGCTGAGGATTCGTGCTGAGGGAACACTAGTCAGGGCAGAGCTCTGAGCAGGTGCCAATCTGCACGACCACAGTAGAGATTTCTGCAGATCCCAAATGTCTTCATTTCTTTGGCTTTCGGAGCTAACACCTCTGTATTGCCAGTCTGTGCTTGCAGACCTTGTTCATGTTTGCCCTCCTGACAAGGGGCAGCATCTTGGTGGGGCTGCTGGAGCCTGTGCTTTAGGCATGAGCATGAGCACTCTGTGTCCAGCCCTGGTTCAATGGACCCGGTTTTACCTCCTGGGCAGGGGTGAGTCCGAAGCACTTAGAAGCACCATTGAGGGCTCAGCTTAGCTGGATCTTGCAGCCTTAGATGCCTTAATCCCCTGACACCCTGAGAAAGGAGATACTGCCAGGAACTTAATAAACTCCATTGGATGTGGGTCAAATAATTGTTTTATATACAAACAAACACAAATTCTATAAGGGAAATAACATCAAGTCTTGCAAAATAGTTAAAGGCGCCAACTGAGGCTGGTGGAATTTGTATTTGCTCTGGAGCCAAGGGTTCCAGGGATAAATGTTATTAAAATTCAGTAACCCTCATAAAAGTGACTGCTTCTGTCTGCCGGTCCGCCGGCCCCATGGCAGGAGAGCATCGGATGTGGAGGGACTCCATAGTTCAGTCTTACTCGAATCCAATGGGAAAACCCGAAGTTCTCAGCTCTAATAATGCTATTGTTAGTTTTTGCTGTAAAATCCCAATGAGCACCAAGCAGGCGCTTGTGAGCACAGGGCAGCTCGTTCCAGAGAGCATGGCAGTGCTGGGAGGTTTGTTGATCTGCTGATGCCCTTGCAGAGGTTGAGTTTCTCTCCTTGGGAAACTGTCCTGGCTGGGGCAGTGAGCTTGTGGCACAAGGAGTTCTTACTTTAGCAAATCTGTGTAAAGCAGGTAACAGTATGACAGCAACAGCAATACATGCAACATTCTGGATGTTTGGGTTTTGTGTGAGCTGGACGGTGGATTTTTTTCTAGCTGTTTGTAACTGAGTTGTAGACACTTCAAGATGTATTCTTCAAAACAAAGGGTCCTTTAATCATTGGCAAGAACCTTATTTATGGCTGCAAGTGGCATTTAAGAGCAGAGTGACAACTAAAATACTTGGCTTAGTTACAAAATCTAAACAGTACTGAGGACATTAGGAGGATGTCTTCTAGACAGTTTAAAATGGAGAAAGATACAATGATTTCTTATTTTGAAGTGCTGACATTTCCCATATGTTCTTCAGTGACTATGAGCTTGAAATTGACTTTACTTTGACACTGGAAGTTTGCCCAAGAAAGGTTTAGCAGCAACTCAGCAATATCCATAGCATTTCACAGATCTTGATGAAGGGCATAAATTAAAAAAAAAGAAAGAAAAACACAAAAAAACATTTTAAATGATCTGTCTCAGAGTTTAATAACAGTGTGTTGTGGGATAATGTAGAAGGAATGTAGGAGAAACCTGAGACCTGATTGCTCCAGTCAAGTTAAGTGCATTGCAGAAAACACATACTTGAGCTTCAGCTGTGCCAGTTGCCCCGTCTGAGCCACTGCAGGCTCATCCAATTAAAGGCTCAAGCGGCATTTAGGCACAAAAGCCTGCAGTCTGCCTTTTGTGAAAAACCTTCCCAGTTGCCGGCTGTGCCTGGAAGTAACTGCATTCCGTGGGACCCGAAGGTTTTAATCGTGAATTGTGCAAGGCTCCCTGTGCCTGCTCACTGGCTCTCTGGTTCCCTCCCCAAGCCCCCGGCTCACTCCTGCTGCGGGTGCAGCCTGGATGACCTCCATGTCGGCCCTGTGGCAGCTTCAGGCTGCTCCGTGCATCTGCAGCAGAGCAAGGCCGGCCCACAGGGAGTGCTGGGGAGCCCGCAGCCTGCATACAGCAGAGGCAGGTTGCTCGGGGACAACCCAAAGCGTAGTTTCTGTTCTTCTGGGTGGGCTCTGAAGAGGTGTTTGTTGTTCCACCAGCTCCCTCCGCGCTCTTTATCGTTCTTTTTAAAGACCGTAGAATTCTAGAATGCCCCAAGTTGGAAGGGGGAGGATCATGGAGCCCAGCTCCTGGGTGTAAAAGGATAAGAAACAGCGTGAGGGGCGAGAACCTCCAGCGGTTCCTGGCGGCGTAGGGCATGGTCACCGTGCCGTCTGCTACTGACAAGGCACCGTGCTCTGTAGCTTTTCCTTCCAGTCACAGCCCTCAGGTGCGCGTTGGCCGTCGCACGAAAGCCCCGCGTTCCTCACGGCCAGCTTGGAGGTGTGACCGCACGCCTTCCCCGCAACGCGCTGCTATCTGCGCTCGGGGCGGCCGGCTGACCTCACACAGGCGGACCTGCCGGAGACAACGCAGCGCCTTCTTGCGCCGCTCGGCCGGGAGGTGCCGGCTCGGGGGAGGCCGCCCGGGCGGGTGCGGTGCGCGGCACGCGGCTGTGGCTGAGGGGAGAAGAGGAGAAGCTGGGCGAGCTGCTGAGGCTGCCGCGTGCTGCCGCGTGAGGGCTCAGAGCCGCTAATCGGCTCAGAGGCAGCGCGCGGGCGGCGGGACAAGGAGCGCTTTGTGAGCTGCCGGTGGGGACGAGTCAGGGCCCGAGCTCGGCGCTGACGCCCGGTGCGGCCCTGAGTCAGCGCACCTTGCTGAGCGGTGCGGGGGAAATGAGCAAAGAGCGTGTGCGGGGACCGCCTTAACCGGCATCTGCACCACAGCTCCTCTCAGGTGTTCCGTAGGGCGGGAGTGCGGCGAGCAGTGGCCTGCTGCTCCTTCCCTGTTGGGCCGCCTTTCCATTTTGTCTTTCTCCCATCCGAGCATTTGTTCACTTGCTGGTTGAGTTCTGCAGCAGAACTTTCCGTTTATTTGCCATCACAGAAGAAATGAAGGAGCCCCAGAGCTCAGGCTGTGTTCTGCCTCCTTCACCGGCTGGGAGCTGCCTGCGCTCACGCAGAAGGCGCAGATGCCTTGTCCTGGCAGAGCCATGGCTCAGAGCAGCACTGCCACACAGACGCGCGCCCCAAACCAATGCGATATGGGAGCGCTCGGGGAGCTCAGGTATCTGCTTGGTCTTGCTGGGATCGGCGTGGCAGTGCAGTAACGATTTATAGTTCGATGTGTAGAGCATACTAATTACAGAGCGATTGATGGGATTATTATGGTAATGTTGATGAGTGAAGGCATGGGAATGGCACAGAATTTTTGAGTATTTCATAACTAGAGGGAAAACATTGAAGTGACCAATTTCTACAGTAAAAATAATCGTAGACAATTGTTTATGTGGTACTGGAGAGCTTCGGGGCTACTGGAACTGAACGTACCGGAGTTTGATTTCATATTGTTTTGACATGAGCACATACTTCAGTCCACGGGTAATTTGCTGCATTTGGAGAATGCAGCAAACCTCTCAAGCACGGAATTCTTCAGGTTTCATTTCTATCCCTCCACAGATCCTCAGAATTTGCACAAGATACACACCAGAACAAGACACCATGACATTTTCAGATGGCCTTACCTTGAACCGAACTCAGATGCACAACGCTGGATTTGGCCCCCTGACCGACCTCGTGTTCACCTTTGCTAACCAGCTCCTGCCTTTGGAAATGGATGACACAGAAACCGGTCTCCTTAGTGCCATCTGCTTGATCTGTGGAGGTACCGTACAGTGGGGAGTCAGATGCCTTTGGAACAACAGACGCATTAAGATCTTCATTTATGTTTTACTTGTTCTGCTTTCCTGTACTCAAATGTATAGATATATATAGAATATGTATATGTAGTGTTATTATGTATTATATATATGCCACCTAAAACAGCTGCACTAAAGGCTTGCTTTCCACTGATGATGGTTATTGTTTTCGTTACTGGTATGGTTTAAAATGAACTGGATCAGTTCCAGTTCATCTTCATCTTATTGTCTGCCTCGTAAAGTACTGCTGTAGGATATATCCCACTGCTTCTTCCTGAGCAGCGTTTGGGTACCTTCATGACTGAGCTCCGTTAGGGCAAGAGGTGGTTGTGCAGCATGTACTCATAAATACAATTGCATGCATATGCATAAGGTTACATTTGTACAGAAGTCATTGGGAATAACCAAGAAAATGCAGGCTGTGCTTCAAATTTAGCAGAATAGCACTGGTAACATGACTGGGGGGAAGGGGTGGGGAGGAGCCGATTCCAAGGGGCATTGCCAGGTAAAATCAGGTAAAGCTACATTTCTTCAATGCAAAAAAAGAAAGACTTAGATCGTTTCCAGAATTCTCTTAAATTTCTGTTAATTTAATCACCCAATATCTATCCCATTGTGCAAATTCTGGGTAGCATTAGAAACACTGTGTCCAGATGGGCCTGTTGAAATGCAAACTCAAAACTGTTTTGGGGTTGTTTTTTTTTCATAAGTAAGCTTTGCCATGCTTAAATTACTATTAGAGAGTAACTGTTTTGAAAACAAAAGTCAGTCTTTATTGAAGGTGGCCCTTTAGTACAAAATGATTCCACTTTTGTGTCTCTAACCATAACCCATCAGAGGCAATGATGGGTTCTGAGACACCTCTAATGTATCACTGGTGCATTGCCTTTCATGGCTGGCGTTTGTTGTCACTTAAGCTAGCACTGCCATCTGCTGATATGTGGTGGTAACTCACTTTGGTTTAGTGTCGATGCAAAGGCCAAATCGGCTGTAATCAGTTTGTAAACCTGGATGAATACGAAATTAATTCTCAAATACTGTTTGCAGGAAGGTATTTTCCCCCTAGATAGGGAGCTTGACGTAGTTCCAAAGCACTGAAATGACAAACCTGTTCAGTAATCAATGAAAAATGAAGCTAAGTTTTGGAAAGCTATGGTTTGTCATCTTCCTAATGGAATAAATGCTACAGAGTGTATTTCTCCGTATAAATGGAGAAAGTGATGAAACTCATGGAGGTTTAATCCAAAACATGGAAAAGCTTCTATGATTTCTTTCTGTGATGAAGAAAATAAAAACGTTTAAGATCATAGAGTGACGTGATGCTTCCTGCAGATCGCCAGGACCTTGAAGAACCAATGAAAGTGGATAAGCTTCAGGAGCCGTTGCTTGAAGCACTGAAAATTTATATCCGAAAGAGACGACCCAACAAGCCTCACATGTTTCCAAAGATCTTAATGAAAATCACAGATCTTCGTAGCATCAGTGCAAAAGGTACAGTTCTCAGCGTGTTCTCAGCGTGTTCTCGGAGGACATTGGCCTGAGGACCTGGGTGGTTGGTCCTGTGGGTGTTTTTAACACAACTGAGAGGTCCTGCTGACCTTTCTTTTCATCTTGTTCATGTAACTGCCTGTTGGAAATGGTTCTACTTCCAACGTACACAATGCCACATTTTCCATACCATTCTCTATGAAGTCATTAATTGCTTTCCAGTTGTAGTGCTTTCTCCTTTGTTCCTGACAGTTTAAGTTAGTTATGAATCTGCTCCATCAGCATTCACCTGGAAAGTTATTCATTGCCTTTGTAATGGTTTCTGAAACTTCTCAGCTCAGGCATGAATATAAACTCTCCCTTCTTATCTGGAGTTATGCAGTGACTGAGTGCTCTCTGCAGCACTGGCATTGTAGCAGCATGGAAAAGCAAAGAATGTCAACAGATTCCATTTCTGGAATCTTTCCCCAATAATCAGACTGTTTTTTCTTTAATGTTGTTGACTTTTCTTGCCTTCTTTCGCTTTTAAGAAGCGGATTTATACTCCACTAGACTAATTGTACGTTGATGATCAGGAGTCTGTACATTGTACCATGTATTTGAACTCTGAGGTTTATGGCTATAAATTGTGTATAAGTTGTTCTGTTTGGTAGACAAAATCTTCTTCCCAACAGAAACAAACTGTGTAAAGGACATCCATTCTTCACTGTGGAACAGAATCTTTATATCCTCACTGTTTGACATTTAATTCCAGATGTAGTGGAAGTATTGAGTCACGGCTTGAACCAGTAATTGAGCACCTGGTAGGAAGGCAGGGCCAATCCAGGGGAGCACAGGTGTACTGCATGCACCTGAGAGAAGTAAGGGGTAGAGCCAGGACCCACCCCTTCCCAGACCTCATTTAAGGGTTGGCAGTAGAGGTAAGGGTATCTTGCTGGAGATCCCTGTGTACCTGAGGCCTTCCAAGGGTGAGCAGATTCTTTTCTTCATTTCTGTGTCCACTGCTGCTGCATTTAAGCATATTCTCTACCTGCTGTAGCCTAGGGCTTTGCTACAATGCTGTCATTGCTATGCTTTTCATTGTATAATAGCTTTACACCAGAATATTTCTGTCTCTTTATGGTCCTCGCCACTTTCCCTAGAATCATAGAATGGCTTGAGTTGGAAGGGACCTTGAAGATCATCTCATTCCAACTCCCCTGCTGTGGGCAGGGCTGCCACCCACCACATCAGGCTGCCCAGGGCCCCATCCAGTCTGACCTTGAATGCCTCCAGGGGTGGGGCATCCTCAGCCTCTCTGGGTGGCTGTGCCAGGGCCTCACCACTTTCTGAGTAAAAACAAATGTTTTCCTAACATCTAACCTAAATCTCCCCTCTTGTATTTTAAAAGTATTCCCCCTTATCCTGTCCCTATTAGTACAGTTTCAGAACTTTTTACGTGATCTGTTTCTGTACTGAAAAGTTGGACTGAGGTCTCTCCAGAGCCTTCTCTTCTCTGAGCTAATAAAGCTCAGCCCCCTTAACCTTTCTTCATTGGAGAGGTGCTCCTGCCCTCTGAGCATCCTTGCAGCTCTCCTCTAGACCTGCTCCAACAGCTCTGCATCCTTCATATGCTTGGGGACCTCAGGCTTGGAGAGAGTGCTCCAGATGGGGCCTTACAAGGGCAGAACAGAGGGGGACAATCACCTCCCTCACCCTGCTGGCTGCTTGTCTTTTGATGCAGCCCAGAATACTGTTGGCCTTCTGGACTGTGAGCACTTACAGCTGGCTCATGCCAAGCTTTTTTGCCCACTGGCCCAAGTCCTTCTCTGTAGGGCTGCTCTCCAGGAGTTCTCCCAGTGTGTTCTCATTTCTGGGATTTTCCCAACCCAAGTGCAATGTCTTGGGCTTGTTTAATCTCATTAGGTACAGATGTGCCTACTTTTTGAGCCTGTCCAGGTCCCTCTGGATGACATCCCTTCTGTTTTGTCAGTAGCTTGGTGTCATCTGCAAAATTGCTGAGAGTATTTTCAATCCTACTGTTCATGTCATTGATGAAGACGTTGAAGGGCACTGGTGCCAAGACTGACCCCTGGGGGACGCCACTTATGACTGGACTCCACCTGGACATGGCACCTTTGACAACAACTCTGGCTGTGACCATCCAACTGTTTCTTTATCCACCTAATGGCCCAGGCCTCACATCCATCTCTCTCCAGTTTAGAGTTAAGAAATACTTGACGTTATCCCAAAGGCCATGTTAGGAGCTGCAAGCTGTATTCTGTGGCTCTTTCTCTCCCTAACTAGTATTACTTATTCGCTTGTAGTCTGGGTAGTCCAGATTAATTTTGTCGTTTTGCTTAATCCTGCACACAACAGCCTGCAAGGCCATCTCTCTGTGAAAACGCCTGTAGTTGTTGCACTTGGGACGCACTGAGCAGTTGGTTAGCTTCAGTTACATCAGATGTAAGCAGAGCTGCTGTGTACTTTTGTGAGTCATTAGCCCAAAGCACCTGCAACCCACAGAAAGCAGCTTCACCAAAGTATCCCTTTGGCTGAGTTTGTTTTATAAAACAAGGGTTTGTTAGATTCTGATTCTTACTTCACAGTTTGCTGTGAGGCAATATTTACTTCTGACATTGCACCACACCTGTTTAGCACAGAGCCCCCAGCATTTTGTCCTCCTTCAGGCTTTGCAGATCCCATCCAGCTTAGAAACTGTGAAGTGCATTCCAATTTATAAAGCCTTCCAAATGGTAGCAGTTGCCTTTAATTTCTCAACATCGTTTAGTACCGTTTTGGTTCCTTCTGTGTAAAGATGTGGTTCATCTAATTTACTGTACTGTACTGTTGGCTGCTGTGATCACCATTTTAAATCAATTTGTTAAGGAGAGCTCATCTCGCTCCATTTTGCTGCAATGAATTACATAGTGCGTAATTTTGTATGCAGAACTATAGAGGGAGACATCAAAGCCGTTAAAATAACGTACCCTGAAATTAGTGCTGATGGTGCTAGGGAAAAAGGAATTGCACATCTCATCCTAATGGAAAGGATTTCTTTCTGTTTTCCTCCTAAAGGTGCGGAACGCGTCATTACATTGAAAATGGAAATTCCTGGATCCATGCCGCCTCTTATTCAAGAAATGTTGGAGAACTCTGAAGGACACGAACCACTGACACCAACCTCAAATGGAAATACTGCAGAACACAGCCCGAGTATCTCGCCTAGCTCAGTGGATAACAGCAGTGTCAGCCAATCCCCTATGGTGCAATAAGACATTTTCCAGCTACTTCAGACATTCCTAACACCTTATGTACAGGGATGAAAAGCAAGAAAAACATTTTTACTGCTGCTTACTTTCTGGACTTAATATATATCTATATATGTATATATATATAGATAAAAACTCAACAAGGACCAAGAAATTTTCGTATGTATCGATATATACTCCTTGCTGTTTAAACTCTTAAAATAGAAAACGCAAACTTTTGAAACTCTAAATCAGCCATTTCATGCAAAAAAAAAAAAAAAAAAAAAAAAGTTAAGCTTCTGTTTTCTCTTCTGAACATTCAAGACTGCATGGTGACAAGACAGATCTCAAACTTTAAATTCTGGTTGCATTTCTGATGACTTTGTACATACAGATGTATGGCTGTACTTTCTGTACTGGATGTTCGGTGCTTTCCTTTTGTCTGTCATACCTAAAACGATCAAGACACCAACCAGATGCAATGGACTACTGTACACATCCAGAAAAGGAAATTTCAAGGACTGTCTGATTAGTTAATACGAAAGCTACTCTTTGATGCCCTCAGTTTGCATCTCCTTGTAAAAACTATACAAAATCCCTGCACTCGCAGAAAAGACATCGGTGTCAGCATTAACTGCCAGATCAGTTATTCAGATGTCATTTGCTCCACTGTTAACGTCACTTTAAAATTTAAAAAGTGGTTTATTAGCTGGCTGGTGACCTAGCTACACCGGTAACTACTACATTTCTACAGTCATGATAGCCTCCAAGGCAGAAACACTTCTCAGTGTTACCGTGTTTTTGTTTACTTATTCACAAGCCATTAGGGAAACTTCATGGGATGATAACCAGCAGACTCATTGACAGCTTTCAAAGGGGTGAGTCCAGGGTATTTCCTTCAGAGTCGACCGCCAGGAATGAGCTGAACTATGCGGCCTTCCAGGTGCTAGGGAAGTACAGACAGGACTTCCAGAAACACAAGGAGAGAATCTGCCTTCTTGGCCTTGTTAAATCACCATGAAGCAGAGTGAAAACTGTGGTAGAATGGTTAACAGATTTAAAGTGTCAGTTTCTTAGGTTTCATTTAAAGCACTAGTGGATTTTTTTTTATATATTCTAGCAAGTCTGTGATGTACTTTCACTGGCTCTGTTTGTACATTGAGATTGTTTAACAATGCTTTCTATGTTCATATACTGTTTACCTTTTTCCATGGAGTCTCCTGGCAAAGAATAAAATATATTTATTTTAAAAAAACACCTATGTGGAAGTGGTCCCTCCAGCCCCATGTTACACACACAAGACAGAGAGTTTTCCATTTTTTAATGTTTAAACTTCATTTCAAAAAGCAGGTTTGCTGTTTGCAACCATGACAATTAAAATGTGCTTTAGCACCGCTGTCTAGAACATCTCTACAAGCCAGTCAGACAAATACATGACATTTCAATGAGTAAAAAAGAGCATAAAACTGTAGGTGTAAGAACAAAATGTTAAAATGCCTACACACAAGAATAAAAACCATCAATTACATTTATCACATAAAATAAGTCAAATGTACAAAAGTTTGCGACAGAAGGGACCAAAAGGACAACACAAGATAGTCGCTGGAAAACAGTTGTGTGCTCTTTGGGCACTTAATTAAACATATCAAAATCATCATCTTCATCAGACTCTGCAAAATATTTCACTTCTTTCCTAGCCCGGCCTGTCCGGGGCTTTGGAGCAGTTTCGGAGGCAAAGCCTGACTGGAAGATTTCCACATCCGAATCCTGGTCAAAAGTGGCCTTCTTGGATTTCTTTGGAAAAGAAAAGACAAATCCTTTGTGAAGCTCTGTGCATTTTGCATCTTGACATTCAGACCTGAAGCAACTCTTCTCTAACAACTGATACATAACCACATCTCCACCCCAGTTGGTACCTCAGCACCCTCCCATAAGAATGTGCATCTTGGATTGAAAGGAATCTGTTAGGTTATCGTTTACAAGCGGAAAGGACCATTGGGAGAACTGACCTTGCATGGTGTTGATTTAGGTGTCTTCTTCCCAGGGTTGTATTCACCTTCATTTTCTGAGCTTGATGCTTTCCTTTTCTTTGCCCCTCTCCCTTTTCCTAGGTGAGAGAATATAATTTCAATAAAACATCACAATTCAGCAAACTGGAAAAAAAACATTACTACATTTTATCATGTCTGCGTGTAAAGTTCAAATACAACATAACATAGTTGGTTTTCTCAGTTTTATATCTCTCTCTTATTCTTCCTCTGGAGTTACCATTTGTGCTAGCAATTCATACTGTCAGTTCAAGACAGGGCCAAAATTCGCTAACCTAACTTCTTCCAGACTTACGAAGTACTCCAAGTCCTCGGCAACTTTTTGTGCTGATAACACAGCATTAATGCACCTTCCCAGCTGAGGAATTTACTGTTTACAGCAGCTATCAGCACTGGCACATCTTTTCCCTTTGCAGTGTTGCAGTGAAATCACTGCAATGCTTCTGTCATTTTCTTCCTAGGATTCTTAGGAGAACTGGGATACCAATGAATTGGTTTCAAGAACCAGAAAACCTGACTTAATAGAACTACCAAAGATCAGAACCTTACTGATGTGTATAAACGTGAGCTCACAGAATGAAAATAACCAGTATCCAACAGAATGGATGAGCAATTAAAAGGGGTTGGAGGCATTAAATGCATTCCCAGCAGCTAAGGTCACTTAAAAAGTTCACAGCAGTGATAGTCAAGAAACGCCAATGAACTACTGCTGTCATAGAAAAACGCTCAGGGCTGAGTAATTTGCTGGTGATTCATTCACTCATGAATCAGCGTGGTTCTTCTTTCCCTCCAAATATAATTGTGAACCCATGTTATAGAGAGCCCAGACACTGTGTGATGCTAATTGTCACCACACCTGAACTACTACCTTTGGGTGCTGCAGTCTTCTTTGGAATGCCAAATTCTGAATCCGAGTCAGAATTTACAGTTTCCATCTTCTTGGCCTTGGGAGCCCTCTTCGGTTTAGGTGGTACGTCTACTTTTGCTGTTAGAAGTTAGAGATACTGGATATGTTAAATTCACATATTGCTTAGAAATATTAAATTTTACTAGACTACAGCATAAATGGCAGATGTTAAAATGAGATGAGCCTCCTCCACTTGAGGAAAACATGCTTCAGCTTTTAGGTTAGAACTGTGAGGAATAAAAAGGAGGTGTTTCTTTTGTCAAGAAAACCTTTTAATTAAATTCTACCAGTTCATTCAGTATGTTCCAGTGTTTTTAATTAAACGCTTTTTCATCTTCTTGAGCACAAAACAGGTTACTGTTATCTAAAGCAGCAACAGAAGTTTCCAAGTTGGATATTTAAAACATGCTCAGATGCGTTACATTACAGGACAGCTCGCTACTTGTGCCATTTCTGCCTTCACAGTGGTACAGTCTTTGCCACAACTGCAGAACAACCCTCCCCATGATTACTGCAGGACTCTGAGGCACAATGCATCTGTGTTGTTTTCTGTTTACCCAATGAAAAAGAACCTCAGAAAAAGAAGAAAGGACAGGAAGGAGACATATCTGTGGAATCCTTACTGAATTTCTACTACTGCTACACAACTTGGCCATCTTTAAAAGACAGAACTCATACTGCTCCAAAAGCAAAGCCTCCTATTTATCTCCATGGAAATCACAACGAATATGAACAGCTCAATAACACCATTCAGTAATGTTTTCACTGTAGTCACCACCATTATCTATGCATTTTTATTGGTGACGAACAAGAGCCTGCATGCTGTGCTGGTAAAAATCTGCACCAGCGGACGTGACCCACTGTCACTGTCAGCACTGCTGGAATGCACCCCACTGTCTCACTGTGCTCACTGTTTGGTCTCTGTAAACATTCAGCAAGTGTCAATTAATGTCAGTGGGTGCAATGTTTCTGAGAGGAATTCATTTCCACTTCTTTGCTTCACCTGCACTTCCACGTCAGACACCATTTTGTCAGACTGCCCCTCTGCTGCCATCTGTTGCATCACAATTAAATGCCATGGAATATTGCTGGGAAGGTTCATCCTCAGCTGCCATACCACCACCATCCGCCTCCGATATCGTGGGCCAAAGTAATAAAACAGGAGGCATTACTTCTGGAGCAGCCCTCATACACTCACACCAAGGAGGACAAGAAGTACTGCACTCCACATGTTGGACGACAAACCAGCCTTTTACAAAACCCTCTGCTACACTCCTGACCTATGTGTTATCTGTCAGTCCTAAATACCTCAAAGATACAACATGTAAAAAGCTCCAGATAGCAGGAACGTGGACACTGCTGAGTACTCAAGCTTTCGTCTGTGATACTGCTAAGGGAATGTCTTCAGACAACAGATGAGTGTCTCCAGAACCTTTCTGGCTATGCTGCCTTTAACTGCTACCTGCTGGAGAATCACTGCACTGCTTTGTGTGATTGTGATACCTACTGAGTAGTTCCAGTATCACGTCCTGGTAATATTAAAAAGCTTTCTTTGGCATCAAGGAGAGGCTCCGGCAGCCTTTTAGATAGACTTTGAGGGTGAAGAACTGATGCTTAAGTTGGAACTCAGGAACCATATATGAAAACAACTTAAAACAGGTCTCTATAGATATCTCGATTAGAAGACAAAAGAAGTATATTAGCATAAAGCAAAGCAGAGTCAGTCAATGCCAGAGATCAGGAAATTTCATCTCAAATTGATCGAGGTCTGAGAAGAAGCTGATCTCCTAACTATTCCTTTATTTTCCCTGGACTAAGAAAGGAATGTGGCCATACAGATAAAAAGACAGAAAAAGTACTTCTTCAGTATCAGCTTCCCGTCCTCCAAAATTCAGGCTCTGAAGTCACAAAAAAAACCCCACACAACTGTCTGTAATAATTGCTTCAGCTACACAACAGACATTCCCCTGTGAGGCACTCACCAAGGGTGCGTGGATATCAGAAGATGGACACAGCACTAAGGACATGACTAAAAGAATACCAGCTGACCAATAACTAAGTGTGTTGATTTAGCACTGCACTGTCAAAGAAACTGTGATCATGTATAGTTTGGGCAAAGGGGAGAAGATGAAAACTGCTGAATGCTGTGAATTTTCGTGCACTAAAAAGGAAATTGTGTCTCTAAGACTACTCCTGAGACAAAAGTGTAACTCTTCTTCCCTGAACAAAAGCCTGTTGATACCTATTTTGTAAGAGTAAAGGTTAATCAGCACTCAGAAACATCACAAATGTGTTTTAAAGTCTCAAAGCTATGTTAGTAACAACTAATTGCATCTACACCTTCACAAAAGAGAAAGGGAGAGAGAGGTTGAACGCTAAGTTGCATCCATGCTACTACATACACAGGTCTTGTATTTATAACAGAAGTTCATCATAAAGGACTTAAAAATAATCTTCATTCACTGTATTATAGAACTTTACTGTTGATGATTAAAAAGTCTTCAAGTGTTTGAGAACCAGTCAGACGTTCACTGATTCAATTAGAGTAGCACAATGTCAGTGAGACAGATTAGAACTATGGAAGCAAAGAGGGGAGGGTGAATGGATGCTGCAAATCCCTGGCACCTAACTCATAAAATAAGATAATTTTTTCCTCATTTTTAATGAAGTAAATTAATTATAGTAACTGGCTGCTTTCTTGCAGATTTTCTGGAGGCATCTATTTGTCATATTAATGTACTAAGTTCAGCTGTAAGCTGACCACCATATTACAGTCAAAAAAATTGCTTTTGGATGAGAGACTATTAAGAAGAAAGAAAAAAATGAAGTCATCTGAAAGAAGTAATAGAAGCAAGGCAAAGATTTGAAAGCAGAAAAAACCTGCAGTCTATTATCTGCTAAGAAGACAACAATTTTTCAGCTTAGGTTCAGCATTAATTATGGCAAGCATTTGATATAATCCTTAAAATGTATTCAGAAACAGGCTCAGAGCTCTCCTTTAGAAGTAGAAAGATAACAGTATATATGCCAATATTCTTCAAGGAACACAGTGCTTAAACAACTTATTCCAACAAATATCCATGCACAACTAATGAAACCTATACAAGTAATGAACTTGCTCTTGGAACTGTCCTGAATTCCACGGTTTAAGAACATGCAAATTGCCAGTTCTAAAAGCCTGACTAAGAAATGAAGAAACTTCTGCCTCTGAAGTGTAAGGGTAGCCTTCCGTTCTCTGCATCAAAAACTACAACCACATACCACTGTGGCAGCTACATGGGCTGCTTAGGACTTAAGTACTTCCTGGGGATTCCTCCTTTGCACTGTTG